GGTCTCCTGGATAAATTTATTATTATTATTATTATTATTATTATTATTATTATTATTATTATTATTATTATTATTGGAATTGATTTAGGGCGTAAATTCAGGAGTACTAAGTGTATCTCTTTATCAATGGATTATGAACCCACGCAGAAATATGTTCACCCGATTTAGGAATGCATTAAAGAAACTAGTACCTGTGATTTATATGACGGTTTCTAACTGAATAATTTATTGGAATTCGTAGAATTTGTTTTGTTTACCGCGAAAGCCCTTGAATGTGCGAAGCTTGTCACGAACGGCGAAGAATTTTAAGCGGTCCTCGATCTAGTGAGCTTGAGTGTACATTTTTTCTCTGCAAATAAATCTGGAAGACTGCGTACAGTATGTTGGCCACAACGTTTGCTTTTAGTATGTTTAATATTCTTTCACTTTCAAAACAAATACCGATCTAGTGGTCTTGATCGTAGACTTTTCCCGCTTCATATAGATCACATCTAGAAAGACTACAGTATGCTTGGAGCCCAGAACTTTTAATTTTACTAAGTTTTTAAAATATTCTTTCTTTTTACAAACTACTAAAATCAACTGACTCGCTGTCTATAAGACTTTCTAAATATTTATCAGGGTATCTATCAAGTCGTATATTTAGTTCCCTTATAAAATAAGACCTTAAAACTTGGTGTTAAAAGAGATTCGTTTTGTAAAACCTTTTCGCAAAACCGTTTTGCGAAATCGTATCGCTTTGTTTCGTTTCGCAAAAGATCATAAGCCTAAAGCCTTTGCTGTTCTGTTCAGCAATAGAATTTAAGTCTTTGATTTTCACGATAATGCTGATTTTATTTGCTCCGAGTATTCTCCGGAAATTTCACCAGTACGTACAGACGTACAAGATGACTTACTTACGAGCTCGTAACATATTTGCTACGCTTCTTACCGAAGGCAGTCGTCACAATAATTGAAATGACACTGTAAAAGTTCATAAAAAGCCTTGAGCTTTTAGCAGCCTGACTTTATATGCCTTCCATGAATTTTAATTGGAAAAAAATGTTTATTACTTCAATTACTAACTTGCATGGTTTTTGTGACACAGTGCTGGCAGTTAATAAAGTTTCTGGCCTTTTCGTTTTCTTTATTTCATGGAACTGAAAATATATATTAAAAAAATAAATAAACAACAACAACAGCAACAAAACACACACGACTCTTTCGAGTGTTTTACTTTTTATTATATTTCTTAAACTGTTATTTCCGGATTGCAAACATGTCGTGCATGGGTCATATTTTTCCACCAGTTGTAGCGAAACACAAATAATTCGTTTTTACTTGTTATTACTTAACGTAAGCTGTCACTTTTCATCTGGATGCCACAAAAAATGACATGAGGTGCAATTATCTGATGAAAGGTACATTGGTTGTTGTCTATTTTAGTGGTTTCATCAGCTTCGTTGCTTCTCTGACGGCCTGAATGATTAACGACATTTCAAACTTGAAATATTCGTCTTTCTCTTTTTGAGTGAGATTCTTCATGCCTGCGATCTTGTTGAAATTCTTGTTGAATTTCTCACTGATTAACAACATATGATTCTTGTTCTCGTTGGAATCAATGAGCTCTTTGAGTATCCGGTCGTTTAGATCGCCTAGCAAGCCTTTCATGGCATTCGGACTTACAAATATTTTCTCTAGCCCCGACATTTGATCGTTGAGCATGCACAAAACCAAAGGATTTTTCTGCTGACGCGTGAGCCTAGATTTTGCGGACTCAAACGCCTTGGTAATATTCACAAGTGATTTGACTGCCTTTTCAAGATATGCCATCTGCAACCCGTTGATTCGTTTTGAATGTTCTGAATCTTGCAGGGTTTTGAAGGCGTTTTGCACCGATTTGGCAAATCTCGTCACATTAAATGGAAGGACCTCAGAATCAGATAGATCAAGCAGTATACTCCCTACAAGCTTTGCCATTAACCTTGAATAAAGAAAGTTTGGATCAGCAAACCTTTCAACAAATTCAAAAGTATCATACTGAGTATGATAAATTGGATAAATGAGAATTTTATTATTGTATGTAAAGAAATACTCGAAATCCGCCACAGAAAGACCTAGCAAATGCAAGAAAGGAACATGATCAGTGGAATAAATCATGTTGTAAATATGTGGTTCGCCTGGGTAATCCTTTGATTTCGGCAGGCTGTTAATCATGCTGTCAAATAATGTAATTGAACTATTGACTGGATTTTGAAGTTCTCTGGCGTTATTTAGAATAACGTCACCTAACAAGGGGCTAGCCTGAACATTTAAGAGATCTGTACCCATTACGATTGTGTCGGTATTTAAATAAGCTACAGCTCTCTTTTTCAGAACTTCAAGGTTTTCTTGAATCCATTCAGTCGAGCCTATTAAGCCGTCCTCTTCTCCACTCCAGCTACACAACTTTATTGTCCTCCTTGGTCTCCATCCATTTTGCTTGAGTTTCCACAAGACTCTAGATATTTCCATTAGTACTGCCGTTCCACTCGAAGGGTCACTGCCTCCAAACGTTATCGCATCTTTATGGTTACCAATCAGGACATATCGGTCAGGCTCTTCTGAGCCAGAGATCGTTGCTATGACATTACGTATCTTCTTAGTAACGAACTGATTGTTGACTTCAAGTCTGACAACAGGAGCTGGGTTGGCTTTAGTTGGCCCTAGACCTGGTCCAAGTCTGTAATCCATTTTCAAATGGCCCCTCATGACGGCTGGCGCTATTTCTCCTGGAAGGTAAAATTCGTATACTTAAATTATTCATCTACGTGTACTTAAATTATTCACCCACGAGCTAAGGAGATGATCGATTATCAAATTAGGAAGAGCGACGAAATAATTAAATTCCCTCGATGAAGTGCCGAATCGACTATTTGACTCAGTCATAGAAAACGAGAACGAGTAGTCTAATTGTTTTAGCATAAACCTACTAGCTAATCAATAGTATTGAAAACAAAAAATGACACTAAAACTTTACTGTGCAATGCGACTGTCAACCGGTGGCACTGCTTTCATTCATATTTGCGAACTCGTCTTTCGTCTCGAATTAACGTAAAGCTTAAACTTGCTCTATTTCTATAGCTTTTTGTCTCTATTATTGCTGTCAAAACTCTTTTTCCATTATTTTTTACTTTAACAGTTCTTGGGATCATTTTTCTCTTTAAATAATGAGTGATAAACTGATATAATTTATTTACAAATACTTTGTTGTCAGATCATCCAAAGCCGTGCCATGTTTACAATTCGCTTAAGATTCTTGTCAGTTAGCTTGCACTTTCTCCATTGTTTCGTCTGTTCTTACAGTTTAAAGATTCTTCTTGAATACATGTGAATAAGTTGTCTTTTGGATTTTTCTGTTCTTTGAGGGAATCCTTCAGTTAAAATGCCATCATTATCTCAGTAGTCAGTTGTTTGTCCGTCGTAAGTTTGCTCATGAAAATCTCAGTGAAATCTGACGGCCGCTTTTTCGTGTTAAAATTGCCATAATTCTTCAGTTTTTACTAATCTTTACCGTTCAAAACCTCAATTCCTTTCCTTGATGCAGTCTTGTCTTTTCTACAATCGATTTTTAAAGATTTTTTTAGAGAACAAGCAGAGATTTCGACGCCGAAACTTGACCATGTACTTGTTTATTTTTTGCTACTCGCTATCTATTTAACAATAGAAAACAATGGAATTTGCATGAAATTGTGCTATTTAGTATTACTAAAGTTTCATGGTTATATTGTTTGCACTCTAACGTTTTTGGTACTACCTGTGTTTGTGGTCGCCGATAACGAAATTTACCACGGGAACGGAAGTGCCCATTTTATAACACCCAATTAAGTATTCAGCCTTCCAGTCAGTAATTGCACAAGTGATTATAATTATTACTATGCTTTTTTTAGGGCATTGCTCGGCTTGAGAAGAAAAGATACTCTGGGAACCTATACATTGAAAGAGAACCACAGTGCGCTGTTGCTATACATACGTGCAGGATCTGGCAATTGCGAGTACAGGAAATGGACAAGCAGAACTTAGCAAATTTGATGAGCCACCGAGTAAAAAGAAAGAAATTGATTGATGGTCCAAATGTGTGCTCGACATAATCAACTAAATACCAGATGAGCCACCAAACTGTTGGAAATGAAACACAAAATTGCTACAGTGGCTTAACGGAAAATCGAATCGGGAAGAGCAGGGCATTGTAACAAAAAATATCACCATTAATGATGTTAGGAATACGAATCATATAAAGAGGGTAACAGTACATGAAGCGCAGTATACATGCAAATAAAGTGAACAGGAATATGATAATGATTCATTGGTCTGGCCTATATGGAAAACAGGCCCATTGCGTGATTAATTGTATTGCGGGGACAAGACATTTTATTTATCCAAGCACCTCAAGCTTGGCTTGAAAGGCTTCCCGGTACGTGCCACAATTAATCATGCATATTCTGGAATCGCACAGGAAGCCTTAACTTCTAGTTATGRACTTCTGTCCTCGATTATAAGTGCTACAGTATATGAGCTATATATTTCCACTTTAATGCATTATATTCTTTGTTTGTGTGTGTTGTTTATTACTAACTCTCGCCTTTCATTCGACTCAGTAAATAACGAGCATCGTCATAGGAGATGGGTTGCAGTGGAACGTATTTGCGTATTTTGTCCATATGCAGTTTGGGCATTCCACAAGTGGATGGTAACACTGGAGTGCTAGGATCTCCATGATTATACAAACTACCTAGTGAGTTGGTTTTAACACCATCGCCTGGTAACCATGGTGGCTTGTTTGGAAAGGTGTTATTTAGTCCTGTTCCCTCTTTTGCGTAATAATAGGGATCGGGATAAGGGATAACTGCAATTGCTCCTTCGTCCAGGATACTTTTGAACTTATAATTCAAATGGAAAAGCAACAGAGAAGATAGGTTAATAATTAAAGTTTTAATTACGTTAGAACCAAGAGTAAATAAGACGAATGTATGAGGTTATTTGTGCATTGAATTAGAAAATATGGCTAGATTTTTTTGATATCGCAGAATTAGTTTAAAATGACTTTGGTAATTTGGTGTGAACTTTCACAGAAACAGAGCGAGATTCTCGATCACTGCACAACCTCGTACATTTGTCTTGTCAAACTCATTAATAATTCTTGAGGAAAACACAACAGAAATCACGACCGTGAAGAGTGTTGTAAATCTGATACAAAATCGTGTTCATTTGCATAAACTTTAAGTTGGATTTTCTTGGCCAGATTCACTTTAATTTTGAAACTTTTAGTGAAACACAATAAAGGAACTATAAACCTAGACGTTTGATAAGCAATCTACAGTATTCGTGTCCGTGTTGTATCCGATATTGTATATCTGATCATAGTTATCTGATACAACACGGCTACTCATACTATATATATTACTTAATTACTTAACTGATGCACAATATTTGAAAACTGTATTTTAGAAATGTTGGAGCTTATATGATTGGTATCTCTGTTTTTACAGCTCGCAGCAAAATGTAATGTAGAGATTATCACGTGTTAAGAGTTTGATATCGTTTTTATTCAGGAGTTTCCATATCACACCACGAATAAGTGAGTCTGCAAGAGAGTGAGTGATAGTATCATATGGAAAACGAGTGAGTAAAAAAGATATCAGGCTCTTAACAGTCATGACGTAATTATTTGTTTATTACATATTTAATTTCATATATGTTTTTTACATATTCGATAAAATGACAAAATTTAGGCAGTTTCCAGTTCACCGTAAAGTTATATATCGTATCACTTCACTGGTATATGGTATTCATTCACGGCTTTATTCCACGGATATCGACCCTAAATGGACACTGGAGAAACGTGCTAAGAATTTTGAAGAGTTTGAGTGGGAAAAATTTTTTTTCTTCTCCAAGTATACAAAAAAGTTCGAGAGTATATTTTTGTCAGACCAAGATACTGTATTAACAAACACAATATGAAAGATTAAAGCATGGACACTAAATTTTGGCATTTTGTGAATTTCAATTGATGGGTTGCAAGCAATCCCAAGAGAGTCAAAAGACAAAAACATGGCGGCAATTGTGGTGCCGTTAACAATGGATGCTAATGAGAAATCTTTTGTTAAATGGCACCAACATGGCCGCGATGACGTAATGTGCAATCGAAGAATTTATCAGGCATGTTTGAACTGAGTCAAATTTATATATGTTTTGACTAATTTGCTTACGGATTCATAGCATGAGTAGACGTTTTTCACTCGTGTCCCCTTACTATATATATATATATATCAGTAACTATATTAAGTGTTTGCTAGTTGATAACAATTTTGAGTCCATGACGTCATACTTCGGTACTCTATAACAAAATAAGTGTCTGTATCCATCTACTTAGCAAAGAAGAAGAAGGGGGRAAAAACAGCAAACACCCGGGCAGCATGGCAATGCATCGAATATTTTTTTAAAATTTACTTTTCTGATTCATCCCTTGATAAACAGTACAAAAATAGAATCTTACGTCTCCAAAAGCAGTAGCGAGAAGTACGATCTTTCCTTTAAGCGATATTCCTTTATCTTTCAGCAGTTGAATCTGATATGGCCACCCAAAATCTGCAAATACCAATTCTCCTTCTACAGTACCATTAGCAGATAATGAGGAATACGGTGTATACTTGTAGATCGTTCCGTCGTGTCCCCGACCGGCTGTTATCTTCGAAAGAAAATAAAGCTATGAGATTTCAGAAATTTTTGATGTGATTTTACAGCGCAACGCGCAAAAGTATAAACTTCATTAGTGTACTCCCATACTTCTATGCACGGGTTCTGTACGTTAAATTGACACATTTTGATGCGATAAGGTGTGCAAACGCTCGTTTGGCAGGAAAAAGCACCTAGAAGTATGCGAATACATTAAAGGTGGTCAAACATTTGCGCTGTAAAATAATCGAGCACTCTATCATAATTAATCGAATAAATCTGAATCAACTAACGATAGACACTCGCCGATACAGAAGAAGATGTGACTACTTATTCCACGCTCACTATTCAGCTAACAAACTCATTCGGACAGACGTAAGACAAATCCCCGCGCAGTGGCGAAAAAGTAAGAGCTTCCTAGCTACCCAATAATCAAAACTGTTTTCAATATAAAACAATCATTACTCACATTAAACTGTCCAATTATTTCGTACTCTACTTCTCTGGTAACGTTATTGATTATAGATACTTTGTTTGGTTTGTCTTCTTGAGGAAAAGAGAAAAGAACCTCGTACTCAGGCTCCTCAACCTTGAATCCGTAGCTCTTCCACGTGTCCCGGATGTAGTTTGTTATAATTTCTTCACCTTTGGATGCTACGGGGTGAGGACGTTCTGTAAAACGTGTGGTAATGAACAAAATATTTTTATGTAAAAAAAATTGTTTTGCTTTGCTATGGTTCAAAATATTACTGTTGCAAACGAACCTTCGTTATATTGAACGCCGAGCCCCGAATTCCTCTAGGTTCTAGAGTTATCTCTTTGTATAATGCTTTACTATCGATTGTAGGTTTTATGAAAACCTCTGGACCAAATAAATGTATTTTGCCTATTATTGATATATTTTGCTATTGTTTTTTCAAACGGGTGCCGACCAGCCATTATTGTGGGTAATACAGATTTTGATGTGATTCTTTTTGGCTATAAACACTACCTTATATGTTTTGCGGATTTAGGCTGACTATAGTGGAAACAAGGCATTAGGAGATATTTAGTTAAACATTATTTTCTGTTTACTGGAATAAAATGGAATGCGAAGTTTTCAAGAGAAAGCCTTGATTCGGCATTTGGCTATACGATAGCAATTGTAAAGTTAAAAACTGACAGTACGTGTTGTCATGCTTTAAGATGATTTTTACCATACCTTAAGTTTTCTTTTATCTTGTTTTTATCCACCATCTCCCTGAAGTCATTTTTTGCTTTCATTAAATGTACTTGACATTGTCCTCTCAACAGTATTCCACACAGAAAGCAACTCCAAAGAAAGAAAAAACGGTCAAGAAAGCGAAACATCACGAAACCTATTTTATCATAAAATGGTAAGGTTCTGAGCGGAATGATGAGTTACACTCGACGATACAGTGCTATGTAGTAATCTTTTGGGTGGACACGTAATGTTACGTGTTATTAGCTGGTGAACGAATTATGTAATTGACGTAATGATATCCACCAAACCAAAAATTGAGCTGGTAGATGAAGATATTTCACAAAAATAAAGCATATTAAAATATAATTGCAAAATCTGTGACGAATTATCAAAGACGAAAAAGTGCTTTATTTCGTAGGTACTTAGATTTACTCATACCAAATTCCCTAGATAAAAATGATACGAAAATTAAAATTGGCCTAACACAATTAAGCGCGAAAAATAACATTTCACAAGTGATAAAAAATCATACGTCCAATCAGGAAGAATTTCATTGCGAACGATGAATCGTCAGTGAAAAAAAATGTATGGTTGTAGCTTCTTAAACAAGGACGATTTACTGCCTAGATTTGCTCTCTTCGATTGCTCAGTTGATAGTTTTATAGATGAACAAGAAAACAAAAACGCCCGGCAAAAGACATACAGTTTCTGGGTTTTTCTAGTCTTTGTCCAAACTCTAGCCCCCAGACTTAACAAAGCCAACGTTAACATTTCAAATAGACGCTATGGAAAAAAAAAGGAGTTATCATGCTCTCATTCAGCAAAATATCGGCTCCAGCACGAATATACCCGAAGAGAACTTCAAAGAACTTCAGCCATGGGGCTTAATACTGAATGATACTCAATCTTTAAAGGCGCTTCACTCGCTCAGTAGACCTCCACCCTTTTGGACAATATTTCATGATATGGAAATATGTTGGAAATGAGTGAGAAATATCGTGGACATACGTTGGAAGTTAGCGTGTTTGTACCACAGGTTGTGCAGTTGTTTTCTGTCGTGCCTTCCCGGCAGAGTTTTTTCGAGTTCATTTGAGTTTATTTTGCATCCTCAGTGACCATGTAAAACAAAGCAGAACCAAACTACTCAGTTCCATCTGTGATTAATCATAGATATGCTATAGATGCCGCCTTTTTTCCCATGTGTGTTTGGAGGAAATACATTGAGCGAACGAAAAGGTTGTGACCTGCAGCTGCTCATCTAGCTAGATGGATTACGACAATACTACAGTCGACTGGTATATAGACGCTGATCTCTTTAAGGTGAC